CAATTTGATACCTGGAGCAAATTTGTCAAAGTCAATACGTAAAGCTTTCGTTCTGGCAACATCTATGGCAGTAAAGCGTCTATCCTTTAACGTTTCATAGTGCTCTTGTCGTACCTACAAAATTTCACGACCAATTACCCCATTACAATTTTAAAAAAAACTCATTACCTCTTCATATTCTTCGCTAATATCAGCAAGGAATGCATCTCTAGTCGTTTTGTCCGTAAGAGCAGAGCACTGAACAAAATTCCTGACTTTTGCATCTTATTTCCATATGAGATGTACAGCGATGGCGGAAAAGGTAAGTTATACATACCACAACGACAGATTTGCTAGCATCTAGACAATGTATGACAGGGCCACTGTAGCGCGGTGCAATTTTTACAGCAGTGTGGGTTTTGGACGTGGTAGCTCCACCTGAACGGATTCTAACTTCAAACAAGGTAAGTTATCTTTATCATTTTTCAGCTTTAAAATCTTAAAACTGGTCTACACCGTAAACTTAGAGAACACTCACCACTCAGGATTTTATTACAAAGGTTAGTGAGACCCGCGATAACATTTTTTGATTATTTCTAGTTTCTAACTTCAATTCCATTTTATAAATAAAGTTATACAAGGAAGAAAGTTCACACAGCAGTTTATAATTTGAGAAATTAAACCACTCTGTGCTCCGTATTCATCACCATGAGCGTTTGCAACTGAAGTTATTGGATACAGCTGCTACCATACAACAGCATGTCCTAATACCGCACTTCTGACAACTGAATTATTCAAGCTATCTACCGTATTCCTGGCTTAGCTACGACTCAACCCTACTGAGAAAATCTTTCAACGTTTATATGTAGCGAAAAATAGATGTTTCGTTTATAAGTACCAGGATAAACAATAATCTACCGAATTTCTACAAAAAAATCATCGAAGAATTTTTGGGGAAATGAACTGAAAAAAATACCAATGAGCAAAGGGATCTTGAGTCCGTTTCGTTGCATCTCTTTTGCTACGTGAACCATTTCATCTAATGAGGGTGTGATCAAACCAGAACAACCAATGAAATCTAGAATATACCGTAATCAAATTGACGAAAAGAATTCTTCCTCTTGCCCAAAACTGACATCAAAGAGGATGCCTAACCTGCTTTTTCTTCGACCGCAGTTTTTATGATGGTGTCACAAGGTGTCATAACTCCAAGGTCAATAACCTGCAGTTGACTCTAATCATAACGGAAAGCTCTCGAAAAGCTCAAATGCTAGAAACAACCTTGAAATTATTGCATCCCAGTACGACACCGACGATATTCTTTCCAATGTCATGCACATCTCCTTTTA